CGTTGACAGGGTAGGCTTGGGTGTACATGTAAATATAGAAAAAATTTTCTTTTACATATACATGATACAAAAGGACAATATCAATTTATTATGCAAGGCCGATGCACAAAAAAGCATCCCGTTTATCTTTAACTTTTAATATGCAAAGAAAATATTAAGCTTTCTTTTTTTTATTTGCACATTGAGAGTTAATTAATTAATAAATAAACTGCAAAAATTTTTATCTGGGTTTTTTAGTTAAAGCTTTTTCATGAACATTGTTTTTAAAAAAAAATTTTTTATCTTTCAAGTGAAATGCGTTGCCGTTTTTAAATGTTTTTCCCGATTTAAAAAAAAAAATAATAATACGAAGAAGAGAGAGAATTTACTACACTGCCTATAAAATGTTTCAGAATATTAGTTTCCCACCCATGAATATTTATCAAAATGTATGCGTTTCATTGTAAAAGTGATACACGGTAATACATTAACTGATTAATTAAGAGAAATAAAGTTTATGCTTATGCTGAAGATTTATTTATTTTTTAAAAACATGTTTTAAAAACTAACTTTTATAAACATAGAATAACTTGAAAAAACAATCATACGCTATTTGTTTTTGTTTTTTGTTTTGTTTCTTTTTTTGGGAGGGGGGTGTTTTTTGTTTGTTTGTTTTTTTGTTTTTTTTTAATTTTTCGGGTATCATTGTATAATATTTCAATACCCTTTTTTTTTAACTAAAACCTGCAATTTTACCGATGCCCGAAAATATTCAGTTATAGATATTATATATACGGCCGTACGGGAAAAATAAATCCATAACCCAGTCAAGGGTAAACCCGCGGTCCATACCTGGCTACAGGAGGTTTGAAAAAAGGGGGGGGTTTTGGAAAAGGATAAAAAACCCCCGGGGGGGAGCGCGGTTTAATGCCTAATCCGCGTTGACATGTACATGATGCACATAAATGTCAGGAAAGCCATGATGGGCCTGCTGTCCTGACATTAAAAACCCAGGGTGATGTCACTGTGGCAGAAGCTGATGGTTCTCCTCATAACATAATGCATGAGATGCACATGGAATTCTGGAAGCACATACATGGCCCTGAATTTTTGGTCGTCACTCTGCGAAGAGTAGAATGCATCAGCTCCACAAAGTTTGATGATTCTAAGCCAATAAATACCTAAGATACTCAAATATAGCCATAAAATGTCGAAAGTAGGTCACAGTGACCTACATTTTGGTCGACATTTTCAGGTACCAAGATGCATCAGCTGACCAAGTTTGATGATCATTGGTCTGAAGGTAATCAAAATATGCCTTTTAAACAATTTGAAAACAAATGCCTGCAAAATTCTAAAAGTAGGTCACAGTGACCTACTTTTACTTTAAAATGTTTTAAGGTTCCAAGATGCAGCAACTTACAAGATTTGATGATTCTAACCCTCTCAGTGTCTGAAATAATGGGATGAAATGTTTTAAAAAGGATAAGTCATAAAGTTCAAAAAGTAGGTCACGGTGACCTACTTTTAAGTTGACGTTGTTCATGGACCCAAGATGCATCAACTGTCAAAGTTTGATGATCATAGGCCTTAAAGTGTCCAAAATATGCCTTCAAATCAATTTGAAAACAAATGCCCAAAAATTAAAAAAGTAGGTCACCGTGACCTACTTTTGAGTTAACATGATGTGAAGTCCTAAGATGCATCTACTTACAAGATTTGATGATCCTAGTCCTTATAGTAAGCAAAATATAGACATTTTCATTAATTGTAAATTTAGGTCAACTTTGAAGTGACCTTGAGACCACGCCCTTTGCCCCAGGGTCATGCCTTGAACAATTTTTAATCTTCAATATATCCTGATCATTGTATGTAAGTTTGGTGAAAATCTGTCTGGTGGTTCTGGAGAAGAAGATTTTTTTGCAACCAGTACTTTTGGTTTTGTTTTCCTGATTATCTCCCTTTGTTTTAGGGTCCCAACCCTTATTTTAGTATAAATGGTAGCCCTTGGGCCAAGGATACCCTGTGACAAATTTGACACTGATTGGCCAAGGGGTTCTTGAGTTATGGCCCATATTCTAAAAAGTTAACGCACACCGCACGACGCACACCGCACACCGCACAAATGGCCATAGCATTAGCTCTTTGAGCCTTTGGCTCAGAAGAGCTAAAAATCTGTAAAAATACCTTGCATTTTACAATTCTGTCAGCATATATGTAAAATAGTGTAAAAAGTGTTTGCAATCCTAATCAACTAAACAATCATATAAATCATAACTCGGCACATAAAGAGCTATGTATAAGCAAGTTCTTGGATTAGCATACATGAAGCCACCTGAATATTGTATATTATGTTCATCTCAATCTTCAAATTAGACTTATTAGTATCCAGTAATTGATTTGATACAGCAACCTTCTTTATTGATAGGTTTGTTCCTATAATACCCTCGTATAATGGTACAATTTAGGCATCAGAATATTGTACCAGTCTGCAATGCCATCATGAAGCTTTCACTAAGAAAAATTGCTCGATGAAGATCTACCTTAACTCAGAATAGTCAGCTTTGTTTGAAATAAAATTCTTAACACATTTATCATGCCTATTTTGTTTTAATGTTTTAAAAGTAAAGAAATAATCCGAGCAGTGTTGGTAATTCAGTACAACTTACAACTTTCAATTGATATCTCATTAAAATCAAACAACGAATATCATTAAACAAAAACCTTAATGCTTATATTTGAAGATTTCAGCAATAAAATATATACCTACCAGTACATGTATGTATATTGCATATATTTGCCCCCACAAAAGTCAAATTTTGAAAACTTCCTGAAATGTGCTGAATTCAATAAATTGTATGAGAAATATAAATTAACAGAAAATATTATAGTGTTAAAGCAGTGTATTCACAATTTTTGTTTTTATGACATCACAAACTAGTCCGATTTTATATTCTTTTTCAGAAAGAGGACAAAATTTCAACAATTTCAGCTTTAAAATTTATAGAGCGCAAGTTTGTTCAGGAACAATATTGACATATTTCATTGACATATTTCATTGATATTATCATTCTACCCATTATATCAAAATATTGATCCTGAACACACATGCGCTCGGTGATTTTTACTCAAAATATCGACGAAATATGTACATTTTTCTGTAAAATTCATAAAAAACTGAAATTTACGTCATGTTTGTGAAGTCATTACCTACTTATGGCGTCATTACTTATGAAAATATTCAGTGCTTTGAAGTCAGCATGTACTCCCCTGTTTCAGAACTTAATTAATTATATCTCCATCAAAGTTTGATTTGGGGGGCAAATATTGGTTATTACCGAATAAAGTTCTTTCCTTGACAACAGGTTTTATACCAATATTTCTATATCTTGAATCAATAATAAGAAATAAATCAGTTCAAAAACATTATACATCTTTTTGTACCTTTAAAAATTTACCATTTCCCAAATAAACAAACACAAAATTCATGCCAGCTGTTCCCAGTGAAAACATTGTAAAGATAAAACTGAATTCAAACATTAAAATTGATTTGCACTTGCAGGATGGTATGCATATTTTATGAAAAAAGTTTTGAGTCAGAATGCAACCATTACAAATAAGACAGATTGTTCGATTTTGTTTAAAGTCATTCATCTGATCCTTAGTATCTATATCAATCTAAACAGATGACAGTGACTTGCTCAGTGGTAAACATGAGGATTCTATCCCAACTTGCTGTGAATAATGAGTGCAAAAGCCTGTAAAGCCCTATTCTCTGGGTAGATTTCCAAAGCTTGTAAAACACTGGCCAAGCATTCCTCATAGTTTCTAGATTTGTAGAGCTCCCTGTTCAAGAAAAATTAATATTTATCATAACTCTTAAAATGATAAGCTTGTTTATGTATGTACATGTAGTTCTATAATACTAAAATATCTTAACAAAAAAAATTACAATATACATTATGCCCTATATATTTACAATACATGTATACACAATGCCCTATTTATTTAATTCATCACAGAAAAATATACATGTGGAAAAAACTCTTACTTTGCTCTTTTTACTGCCACCAGATAGTTTTCTTTCAGATCATCTGCCAGATCTAAGAAAATCTGAAAGTTTTAAAAACATACATTGTATATGATACTCCTTAGGGTTCAGTCTGATATATGTACAAAATAATGAATGTAAAAATTAAAAAAAATTGCTATCATTACAAGCATTTTGTTAAATATATATCATATCATCATTAATTTTATTTTTACATTATCCTGTTTCAAAAATCTTTTCATGATGGATTCATCATACAAACCTTCATCTTCACTATCAATATCTACATCTATAGACTCCTCCTCTGATCCTTTATCTAAAGACTCCTCCTCTCCCTCCTCTGAGCCCTCATCGATCCCCGACTCCTCACTTCTCAGCTCCTCCTGGTTCTCAGACTGTTCATTGTCAGAGCTGGACAGCATGACGTACTTAGACTGGGCAGGCTGTTAGACTCGGGCGACTTCCTTTTGTTACTGTTCTCTCTGCTAACACTTCTCTCTGCCTCCTCCTCAGGGTTCACATCACTAGTGTCACTTTCAGAATCACTCCCAATTACAGCCTTTTTCACAGATTTCTTCTTGACAGAAAATGTTGGCAAATCGTCATCTGATTCTATTCCTATTTTTGATTGGTTATTCGCAGGCTCAAAATCATCTGAGTCACTCAAGTGTTTCTCCTCATCACTCAGTATGCTGTCTTCAACAGCACTCTCTGACTTGGAAATAGACATGTATTTGGCAGGCGATGATTCTTCATCAGTCTCTTCTATGGCTATATTGTCCTGTTCAGATATGTCCTTGGCAGACGAGCTAACATCAGGTGTATTCTGTAAAGAATTTGGCACAAAACTTTCCTGAAGTCTAGAAAAAGCACCACTTTGATTAGGGGATTCCTCCATTAATGTTTGCTGAAGCTTAGAGCCAATCCTCTTCCTTTCCAATTCTGATGTCCCTTTCCTTCCAAGAGGTGAATCACCGGGCTGAGGACTGTCAGAGAAAGCCGATAAAATCGTAGAATTCAAGTTACTTCTACTTTTGAGCAAATTGGCATTGTCCTTTGATTTTGTTCCCATCAGAGGTCGGAACCTATCAGGGGATATAAAAACCTCCTCTTCTCTCACAGTATTTTCCACCTTTTTCTCGTGGGGTTGTTTCAACCAGGGACTTTGAGACACACTTCTTCTTGCCTTCTTCTTAGCAGGAGAGTCCGTGACTGCTGGAGAAATGAGGATGGGAGCTAGAGGAGACCTCGCCTGTCCATCTGTTGATCTGTTAAGTTTGAACACATCTGATGATCTCTTGGCTGAAGCTATTATTTGTGAAAGAGGAACATTTTCTTTGTTTTCTTCATCCTCCGAATCGATTATAGATTCCTCCATTTTGTCACTCTCAGATTCATTTGACAGAGCATCACCTGTCTTCTCCGTATCCTCCTCTTCTTCTACATCTTCCAGATTTTCATCTTCCTGCATTACATCTTCATCTCGGCTTTTTGAAACCATGCCTCCATTACTGGAAGTGTTACTTTCCCTATCATTTGAATCAGGCTCTAACATACTGTCTCTATCCAAAGAGGTCCTTTTGGGACTAGCCCTAATAGAAAGATTTCCTAAATGTTCAATGGTTTGAACCTCCTCCTCTGATTCTGCGGTCTCTTCTATATGTTGTCCTGGACTCAATACTTCAGTCTTTATTTCAGTTTGTTCAGATTCCATTTTGATGTCAGTCTACAATATGAATTTATGAAACAAGATTTTTTATCCAGAAAAATTCTTTGAGAACTGCATTTTTTTTAAAACTCTTTTTGCAGGTACATGTAGACTTTTATACAATGTACAAGTATATAAACAAGAATTGACCATATACAATTAAATTTCAAGTCTCTAGTATTGATGCATGTACCACAAAATACCATGGATTTGTAAGAGTTTGGGATCCCATAACTTTCTCTATAATTACTTCAACCTTAATATCTAGTATCCCCATCTATCTATAAATTTATTCCTGACCTATCTACATGTAGTTTGAAATAAAAAGGTTTGGTTGCACAAAGATACCAGAATGCAAACAGATGAAAACTACAGCAAGCAAAAACAAAACACTCTACAGAACAATGTAACCAGCATTTTATACGCATTTTATACCTTGTTTAATTCTGGCTTTGTCTTTACTATGATTCCTGGTGTGGTGGCAGTCAGATCCACCACCATATTGCTGCCCTTGACGGGGGTGGGCTCTGGGGTCACAAGGTCAATATGACTGGTCTCCAATACTTCAGCCTTCACTTCTCTAACATAATTGTCTTCCTCTTCTTCGTCATCATCATCATCAACGTTCTCAGCATCCAAGTCTATCTCTGTGAAGAATCAAATTTCTTCAGAATATTTTTCTTAATTGAATCAAACAATCCTTTGTTTCAACTTTTGTAAATTCATAATCATCATCTTTGTAATACTAAAAATATATTGAAATCACTACGTTGGGTTTATGAAAAGATCAATTCTGCCCATTTTATCCTTGACCTTTTTGACCTGACTGACCTTGTACGTCCTTGACATCCTCCTCCTGAGTGTTGACCGTCCCTGGAGATTCCAGTCAGACCAGGGGCGAGAGAATGGTTTCTGGGACCCAGCATCCTCTGGCCCAGCTGGAACATTTCTCTGGTATTTCCCGGTTCTCTGTTCAAAATCCTGTGTTAAATCCGACTCCATCTGAAGCAACTCCTTTGCCTTTTGTACCTATCAAAACATTTTTTTAAATTTACAAAACAATATTTCTAATTTATATGGCTTTGCTTGTACATCATACACTAAAATGAGCCAAATGAAATATATCACAGGGTTGTGCCTAAAATAGAAACAGAAGGGAACAATTAAAAAAGTAGAAAGAGGTCCTTTATATTATAAGATGTTATTATATACTTTAGCTATGTTGGTTGATACAGACACTGTGTTGAATGTAACTTGTTATTATATACTTAAGCTACGTAATTTACGGAATATAGGTCGATACTTTTTTCCTCAGAACCGCTGGGGTCGACCAATATTCAGAATTCGACCTATTTAAGGCTCAAGTTTACGAAAATTGCTCCCAAATCAGTAAAATTTACGTCAATTTCAAAGCAAATCTATGCCCCTTTCGTAACTTTTTTGATTATTTTTCGCAAAAAAAAAATTAATGCCCCGGTAAACAATAACATATTTATTCTAAAACTTTTTTACAAAATAAATTCCATTAATTATCCGTTGATGAGAAAGGAAAACAACATTGCTTCACCTATTAAATAATTCCTCAACGTATTATCCATTAACATCATGCGGTATCCATCTTGTGAAGCTAGGAAGTCGCGATCTTGTACTAAAAGTAAAACCGCAACCGTATCAAAATTTAAAATACGGAAAATTTTCACGATCACAACTATAGTGTTTTTACCATTTATTAGTAGCGATAAATTGAAATAGTATATTAAATATTTTTTATTGTCTTATGTTTATTTAAATGTAAAATGAGTGAAATAATTTGTTGCCATTATTAAAAGCTTCGTACACGAGAAGTACATTGAACTACCGGTATACAAACATTGGCTTCTAACAAAATTTTAATTGTCTGACAGATAAAGGGATTTACACTGTGTACGCAAAGGTGTTAAACAACACCTGTGTTATTCAATTAATTGCCTGCGGGGCATGATTAAGAAACCCACGTGCCATTATAGGGGTATTAGTGTTACACTTCATTGAACAAACAAAGCCGTGAAATTCATGTTGACAGTCAAATTGTGAATGTACTCTAGTTAAATTTATAAATTAAACTTATAGAGTGTTAATATGATTTCAATTCTTTACTGTTGCTTGATATATACATTCAATGGTCATTTGCGTCATTTAGCCAATCCCTGGAGTAGAAAAATAACAATGGCGGACATCGAAGTAATTGTCGTCCACCGGTAAATACTGTCTGAATAAAATTTATTAGGAATGTGTCCAAGTTATTCTGAAATCGGAATTGCTATTCATTGGTCTCGGGTATTTCCCGAATTATAGCTGTAAAAAAATAACGTATTTACGTGTTATTTATGCCTCTGATTTAACAACAGTGTGAAACTACGGAGGCATTGATTGATTGAACACGCAAGTTGGAGAAAAATAAGTAGTAACACAATTCAAAGAAGTTTTAACTACATTTTTAAAAAAAACTTAATTTAAATGCTGTACTCATTAAAATACCTGTTTATTTTCTTGATACGTTCATGTCACGGAATAACCCCGGTAATTTTAGGGTTTTACCTGTTCTGATACGTTGTATCTGCATAAGAATCTTTAGAAAATGGGAAAGAAAGCCTCGTCCTATATAGTAAGTTCGCCCTATCTTAGGATTTTTCAAAAATTAAGGCTGAAAATGAGCCTTTCGACCTATATACCCCATCAACCTATAATCCCAAAATTACGGTATATTGCCTAATACAGACCCTGTGTTGTATGTATGTTGAGGTGTCTAATACAGACCCTGTGTTGTATGTATGTTGAGTTGCCTAATAAAGACCCTGTGTTGTATGTATGTTGAGTTTCCTAATACAGACCCTGTGTTGTTTGTATGTTGAGTTGCCTAATACAGACCCTGTGTTGTTTGTAAAATAAGATATGATGGCTAAATACAGACTCTGTTGTATTTATGTTGAGTTGTGTTATACAGACCCTGTGTTGTATGTAGTCATCTCCATGTTCCACCTCTGCTTCACCGTTGTCTTCAAAGTCGCATTTCTCCTGAGTGAACATCAAGTCATGGTCACTGATACCAAATATCTCTACAATATACATGTATAAACATCAAGTCATGGTCACTGATACCAAATATCTCTACAAAACATAAAAAAAATATCTATAACATGGCTTATGTCACACACTCATTATTGATATCTAAACTATGGGCAACATTTAGTAAGAGCAATCAGTGATGATACAAATATTTTAGTCACTGACCATATGAGAAGAGAAATGTGCTAATGAGATGAGCATAAAAAGTAAAGTCCTTTTGGCAGAATTTTTTTAAAAAATAAAATTGCACTGACATAAACATGATAAAACATCACTTTGTCAGAAGAAACATATAATTTTTTTTTCTTATCAAAAACTGAGGAAAATACAGACCCTAAACCATCCTACTACACCACTTGCATGGAACAGTTTGTTTCATTTTGTGAATGGTTCGCTTTGTGAATGGTACATTTCGCTTTGTGCACGATTCATTTCATTTCGCACATGGTTTGTTTTGTGAATGGTACAGTATGCTTTGTGAATGGTACATTTTGCATTGTGCACGATTCGTTTCATTTTGTGAACTGTTCGTTTTGTTTCTGACATGTAGTAGCAGCATGTTAAAGAGTCTGTAACAGAGCAGTGACACAGAACACTGACTACTGACCGAGTGAGTAGAGAAATGCGATGTGAGCATCGAGTGATGAGTCCGTATTTCTCTGATGACTGTGCATCTCCTCCAGCTGCTGCTGAGTTTTCGAGATCCGTGGATTGTCAAGGGTGAACAACTCTCTCAGCTCCTGCTTTGTGAAGTACCTAAAACACGAAACCCAGAAAATTTACTGTACATTTACAGCAGATCAAATATATCATTACCAGAATCAGTAGAAACCTGCTTGGTTCCGAAATCAAATTATTTATAATATATGTATGTTCTATTTAGTCACCTGAAAAAACAAGAGATGTTTGTAAAACACTTATGTCTCCCTCCCTCAAATAGTAAGAATTTCCCCAAGTTCAAGGGGCATAACTCTGACAAAAATAGCTTGATGGTACCCAAAACAAAACTTGACCTAGATTTTCTTATGATAAATATGTATTACCAAATTTTATTTTAGTATATCATAATCTGGAACCACTGCAAAGAAAAAGGAACAGAAACTGCAAATAATTAGAATTTTTTTCAGTCCAAGGGGCATAACTGACAAAAATAGCTCAATCATTTTCAAAACAAAACTTGGCCTAGATATATTCTTCATATAAATCTATATACCAAATTTCATTTTAGTATGTGCAACCGCTACAAAGAAAATGAACTTGGTGGACCGACAGACAGCAGCAAAGCAATATGCCCTCCCTTCTTCAAGAGGGGGGCATAAAAAGTACTTTTATTCCGACATGAAAATGCATATTAGTAAAGCCTCAAAATTGTATGTGCTGCATTTGACAGAAGGAAAATGGTAAAATCTAAGTAACATGGTACCGGTACATGATATTGTATGAACCAAAACTCCAAATAAACTGTTTACACAAAAACATGAACAATAATCACAAGTTCATTATGTTTTTATGGGATATTTATTAATTGGAGAATTCTCAAATATCTGATTTCTGATTTTTGATATCTGAAGTCAAAGTTAAGATTTAAAAAAAAAAATTAGCTGAAAAAAAATTAAGCTACATATTATTGATAAATGCAAATTCTGAAGGTTTCTACTACTTATAAATTGTAATACATTTCACCTCAACTAAACTTCATTCATTATTTGTATAAATAAATTATTTAATATACAACTTAACTAGAATGTCTTTAATCTTGGTTCAAGTATATATACTGTACAGTACAGCTTAATTCATATCTGAATATTATGAAAACAGTTGTGGAAATTCCTTCAATATAAATTTATATGTCTATTAACCTCATCTATGTAGGTATCTACTGATGTGACCAAGTTTTTATGTATAAATTTTAATATTTTCCTATGGTCATCAAAAAGGTGTAGCACATAAAACAGTCAGGGATGGGTGCTTGGGTTCTCAATAGTATCTAATACTAATCCTTCTTAAGCTTCTTACAATCTCTGCTTAATATCAAAGAGATTTAATGTTAGGTAAGTCTGAAACCAGAAAGAATGGCTGGCAAACACATTATCCAATTCAAACACAATTACAGCTAATATTATGAAATGGATTCTAAGTTTCAGTTTATTACTACATTCAAATCTATGAGTGGATATTCATTATTGACAGAAAAAGTTTTAAAAATTTTCAATTGTATTCACGCAGAAAAAAATTTGGTTAATCTATTATGCATGCAATTGTGTTTTTCATTCTGCTTCTCATATCTTACAATTATCTTAAAAATGGATGATACATACAGTTGGGTAATTTGTTAAGACAAGAGACAGACACTTGTGTAGTTTTAAATTTAAATAATATTCAAAGTTCAAAAACTATAAAATATGTTTCTGAGTTGAACTCTTTAATTAAAATTAACAAATATTTGACACATTCTGAAAATTGCTAGAAGTGGTGTAAAAGTGTCAGAATGCTTGTAAAATAATAATGTCCAGAAAACAACATCATCTTGCTGGGAAACAAGCCCTTATCTATCTATGTATCACAAAACACTTAGCTATCTCTCAGTGGGGTACAGCAAGGAGAAGAGACATGAGGGGTAGGATTTTATAGATAAATTAATACATAAAATCCTCTTTCTGAATTCTTGGATATAAACATTCAGCAGATATTTTGTATTAAGTGATTTACTAGTTTCTATTCTTCTTCTGGCAATACTCATATTATATTTTCTGTTATCATATGGACAGAAAAAATTGCAAATTTTGTGGACAGTTTCAAATTTTTGTATGTGAAATTTTCTTTTCTCAAGGTTCCTTTTCAGGGTTTGCATTTCATGGTGATTTCTTTTTTAAAAAATATATCATTTCCTTTTCTAGCACTGACAGAAACTAAACAATATATATCTTATATATAAATATGGATTGTTTCCCCTGTGGGTGCCTTATCTAATTACATTACATGGTCTGTCTCTATTCAATTAGTATGGCTTGAGGGGAATTTAGCCAGGCTACTCTGACTGGTCAAAACAAACTAGGATTATGGGAACTCTGACACTTTTTCAGGTCTTTGTCTGGCCAGACCCAAGCTAACCATGGCAACAGCCTACCTGTCCAATTATCACACCATTGTCTGGCAAGCCAATACAAAGGGGGATAATTAAGTTGTTTTTGTGATCAGCCAGCTTTTTTATGGTGCTTGGTGGATTTACTGATTTAGAAATGCACAAGAAAATAACTCAGAATTAAGAAGAGGACAAAGGAGCTCTAACAAGCTCAACAAAAACCATTTTGCTTGAACTTGTTTTGAGCAAATCCAGAGGTTAATTGATATGTTTTCTTCTGTTCCCAGGTTTATTTGTGTTTCAACCACTTTTGGAAAAGGACAAGTATTTAGTGTCAGAAAGAGGTAAAAGTTGTCAATTAATATTGGTTTTTTTCTTCTTTAGTTTTGATAAAATTTGGCTAAATTTTAATTATTTGACTTCTATAATATTATTCATATTCTAAGTGCATACACTTATAAAAGAACTACATTTTCTTAGTCTAGCAAAGTTTTACATGTAAATATCAAATCATATATATTTGTAAAACCTATTTTTATTTGGTGTGCTACAAGGTGGATCCTTGTCTGTCTTTTTCTTTAAAAAGATCTTTTATCTAAATCCTCTTTTATTTTCATTGTTGTAATCAATATTTTTATGTATTTTCCAAAAACCTTTAAAATTCCTTTTGTTATGAAAATCCAATGAAAATTTCAGAAATTTCCAGAAACATTTTATTTTACAAAATTGCTAATATTTGTTTCTTTTTTCTAAATTGTTGAATTGATTATTTTTACATTTTTTTCATGGACTCATCCAATTTTATTGGAATTTGATACTAAAATTCCATTTGAAACTAATTTTCCAGACAATTGTTTACATCATAAATTTGCCAGTATTGTTTAGTAAACACATGTCACAGTGTAAACAGAGGTGTTTGTGGGGAACAAGCTGTGAATGTTATCACAAACATGACAGCGTGTATAGCAAGGTGCCCTACATGGGGCCCCAAGGAGTCAAGCCCCTTTATCTGGGCATGTCTAAATAACCTTTTCTTGTAAATGATAAGCTTGATATGAACACCTGTGTAAACCCTTTTGTAAAGGATCAAAGAGAGAAAATTCAGCAATAAAGCCTTAGGGTGTTTTCTTGACAATTTCTTAGAAGTAACAATGACATTCCACAAATTCCTTTTTGGTATAATTTAAAAAAGCTGTTAAAAATGCCTTTTCTTTAATGACACTAAATATTTTTTCAATGTAGACTGAATATTTATATCTGAAGTTATTTATTAAAGTAAAAAAAAATTACACCGTCCAAAAAGTAAAATACTATTGCATGTTACTTTAATCTAATTTAATTCAAACTAAACATTGCATGTCAAATTCATGAATTTAATACTGCATGATTTTGAGTAAATTCAATTAAATTAACAAACAAACAAATAACTGATTCATGTCAATCAATGCAGTGCATGCTGATGCATTAGTTCCTAGGTATTGGTGCAGTGCATGTATTACACAAGAGACAAGCACTTACCAATGCTGGGGCACTGATAAAGCATTGTCAACTCTCAAATGTATTTTTTGCTAACAGCTTCCAATAAATAAATGTTTCTTTCGAAGAAAAGGTCTAATGCATATCAGAACAGAAAATCTGTACATTAGTGAGAAATAGCATGGCTTCATTTCTTCAATTTTTGGTAATGAGCATACAAAATTAAAATAAAATTTGAAATTTTCCAGACATGTTAATCAGGTGGTCTGATTAGCACATAAATGTTCATAGTGCACATTATTTTTTTCAGGGAGGAAGAATCAACTATTAGTTGGATATCGAAATTTCTGTTTCTTTCTTTGATACTTCCATTCAACTTTTACTTTTCAAAACCTTTTTGCTAATTCTCTAATTCTACTTGAAACAAGATGTAACTGACCCTCTTATCTGATTGGTGAGGGATGACCTTTGAACCTGCACCAATGAGATGCCAGAGGGACAGTGGCATCTGTTGACGGCTGTACACTTCAAACTGTTCTTTCCTGTTGGCTGTGCCATATCCTGTTATTTGTCTGGTGTCACACATCAAGTAATGTGCACCAAACTAATGCCAGATCTATGACAAGCCCCACATCAGCATATCCACTCATTCTATCCTTCTCCCTGATCTAATTTCTTTTAAATGAACAAATATTCATTTTCTTAGAAGATGTGGACCCTTGGCACAATGTTGTGTGTAGAAAGTACTAAGGCAGAATCTGCACCAATATGATGCCAGGCGATCCATGTTTTACATTACGACTTCTTACAATAATAATTTCTCCATATCCACTCCTTCAAACACCAAATGATGGCTCATTGCAAACTTGTGTTTCTTTTTTCCCTGTATTTGTAGTGGGCTGGTATGAGAAGAAAATGAACTAGCACTTACAGATGCTGGGAAAATAGGAATGCATTAATGTTTAATATCTGAGGAGACAAAACCAAACAATCCACTTTCTTTCATACATCTCCCTCTTTTTTTGTCCTTCATCCCCCAAGGGAACCCATTTCCTTTCTTAAATAAATTGAATATCTATGATCCTCCACCATTCCCACTATCACTAATGTGCTTGTCTGATCAGAAGTACTAGCACTTACTGATGCTGGGGATCTCAATGGGACAAAATCAACAACTACTGTACACACTCCTTTAAAGATTTCTTATACACCATCTAGAATATAAAATGCTGATTAACAGATCAGCAGACAAGGTTACATCACTAATCGCCAAATAAACAATTTCTAGTGGCAAAGTTCTTACTCACATACTAGCCCCATAAGTATAATGTCCTTACATTTACTATGGTCTTTAAAATTTGGACTCGATGTGAAAGCTACACTTTAAAGATTCTAACTTACTTGATACCGAACTTCATACAATTAATGTCATGGACTTATTTGCTGTAAATCATTCAAATATAATTCTCACTTAATTTCAATCTCCAACAACAATTAATCTGCAACAAACTGCTAAGAATTCTTGTAAAACCCCTTAATTTTAGGGATATTAACAGTTACAGCTTTGGTGAAGAATAGATAGTCCAGTATATTTTTATTTATTAAGAGGCCAGTTTTGGGTGAGAAACACCATCTCATTAAAACATGCATGTCTCAACAAGAGGCCCAAGGGCCTTGAATCGCTCTTCTGATAAATTGTACAATCTATCACTTCTATTTGAAGCCTCTAACCCTGAGTATCCTAAGACCCAAGTTGCATCAACTGACAAAATTTGATGATTCTTAGCCAATTAGGACTGAAAATATTTTTAATAATAAAGCTATAAAAGACCATAAGTACATCACAGTGACCTATATTAAGATTGAAGTTTTCTGAAGACTCAAGATGCATTAATAAACAAAGATTGAAGATTCTAAGCCAATAGGTATTTGAGATTTTTTTTTTGTCTACATTCTATGAAAACCCAAGATACATCAACTAACAAAGTTTGATGATTCTAAGCCAATAAGTCCTTGAGATATTCAAAAGTAGGTCACCATGACCTACTTTTTGGTTCACAATCTCTAAAAACCAAAGATGCATCAACAAACAAAGTTAAACCATTTAGTACCGTAGATACTTAAATAAAGCCTTAAATGTCAAAAATTAGGTCACCGTGACCTACTTTTTGGACATCATTCTCCGAAAACCCAAGATGCATCAACTTACAAAGTTTGATGATTCTAAGCCAATAAGTACCGTAGATACTTAAATAAAGCCATAAAATGTCAAAAGTAGGTCACCGTGACCTACTTTTTGGTCGTCACTCTCCGAAAACCCAAGACGCATCAACTCACAAAGTTTGATAATTCTAAGCCAATAAATACCTAAGATACTAAAATATAGCCTTAAAATGTCGAAAGTAGGTCACAGTGACCTACTTTTTGGACACCATTCTCCGAAAACCCAAGATTCATCAACTTACAAAGTTTGATGATTCTTCATCCAATAAATACCGTAGAGATACTTAAATAAAGCCATAAAATGTCAAAAGTAGGTCACCGTGACCTACTTTTTGGTCGTCACTCTCCGGAAACCCAAGACGCATCAACTCACAAAGTTTGATGATTCTAAGCCAATAAATACCTAAGATACTAAAATATAGCCATAAAATGTTGAAACTAGGTCACCGTGACCTTTATTTTGGTCGACATTTTTTAAAGTCACAAGATGCATCTGCTGACAAAGTTTGATGATCCTAGGTCTGAAGGTAATCAAAATATGCCTTTTATACAATTCATAAACAAATGCCTGCAAAATTCAAAAAGTAGGTCACAGTGACCTACTTTTTCATAAATATGTTTTAAGGTCCCAAGATGCATCAATTTACAAGATTTGATGATTCTAAACCTCTCAGTGTCTGAAATAATTGGATTAAATGTTTTAAAAAGAATTAGTCATAAAGTTTAAAAAGTAGGTCACAGTGACCTACTTTTAAGCTGACGTTGTTCAAGGACCCAAGATGCATCAATTGACAAAGTTTGATGATCATAGGCCTTAAAGTGCCCGAAATATGCCTTCAAATCAATTTGAAAACAAATGCTTACGAAATTTAAAAAGTAGGTCACCATGACCTACTTTTTCATAAATATGTTTTAAAATCCCAAGATGCATCAATTTACAAGATTTGACGATTCTGAACCTCTCAGTGTCTGAAATAATTGGATTAAATGTTTTAAAAAGAATTAGTCATAAAGTTCAAAAAGTAGGTCACGGTGACCTACTTTTAAGCTGACGTTGTTCAAGGACCCAAGATGCATCAATTGACAAAGTTTGATGATCATAGGCCTTAAAGTGCCTGAAATATGCCTTGAAATCAATTTGAAAACAAATGCTTACAAAATTTAAAAAGTAGGTCACTGTAACCTACTTTTGAGTTAACATGATGTGATGTCCTGAGATGCATCAACTTACAAGATTTGATGATCCTAGTCATAATAGTGAGCAAAATATAAACATTTTTATTATTTGTAAATTTAGGTCAACTTTGAAGTGACCTTGAGACCACGCCCTTTGCCCCAGGGTCATGCCTTGAACAATTTTTAATCTTCAACATATCCTGATCCTTGTATGTAAGTTTGGTGAAAATCTGCCCGTTGGTTCTGGAGAAGAAGATTTTTTAGCAACCAGTACTTTTGGTTTTGTTTTCTTGATTATCTCCCCTTGTTTAAGGGTCCCAACCCTTATTTTAGTATGTAAGGTAGCCCTTAGGCCAAGGATACCCTGTGACAAATTTGACACTAATTGGCCAAGGGGTTCTTGAGTTATGGCCCATTTTCTAAAAAGTTAACGCACACCGCACGACGCACACCGCACAAATGGCCATAGCATTAGCTCTTTGAGCCTTTGGCTCAGAAGAGCTAAAAATAATACAGGATGGTGGTATAAGTGAGCCATCTAGTGGAAGTTTGAGGAGGTAAATTCAAATCGCATAACTTTGAAGGAATATACAGTCAATAATCCCAGTGTATAATGTTCTGAATTATAAATTTAATTGTTTAATTTAAGATCTCTTCAAAATAAGAAACAAATGAATTTTCATTGTCACATTCTCTAGAAAATGGACAATTTTTGTAAATAAATTCCATCCATTTTAATACATCCATATACTCTGCAAGTAAAACATTGAAGGAATACATAGTGACTGTTTTCAATAAGCAGTTATTCTGGAACTTCAGAAAAGGAATCAAAGAAGATAAATGTGGCATGCTTGTACCATTTCATTTTGTACAAGCATATCTTTTTTAATCGAAATTCAAAATTTTAGTTTCATTAATTGTTAAGTATATTTACTGATTCTTTTTAAAGTTTTTCACAACAATTATCTATATTTCTATGAAGACATTTAGCTGTATCAAAAACCTGGAAATATGTCCATAGGACATGAATGCTCCACCCAGAGTTCATTTTAACAACACGAAAAGGAATGTGCCTCAATTGCATAAAGGTTAAAGGTTAAGGTAAAGGAGGAAAAGTGAGGACAAGGTCACAGGGAAGGTTAAGGTTAAATAAATCATGACAAAGCTAGAAAGCTCTAGCCAGTTAGTAATCAAGGCTCAGGAAAATATATTGATAAATATGTGATTAGATATACGTTTCTTTGAAACAGAGCTAATCAAACATTTTGGACACAGATGAACAGGATTTCACTAATAAGTTTCAGTATATATATGTATCACAGGCTTTTGGATCGCTTAAAAAAAATTGTGTGTAAAAAAAAAAATAAAGGTATGTAACTCTTACACCTGGTACCCAATTTCGCTAATAAATTATTTTTTATTCACAAACTCTAAAATTCTACTTTCTATTTAATTCTATTCATAGATAAACATTCTTCATTTCAACCACAGCTCAATCCGAAAATCCATATATTTCTCGAGATATTCTGAAATCAATTTCAAAAATGACCTACTTTCTTTTACTCAGCATTAGCTTGAGCCCCTAGCCATTCACATGTAAACAGATGGTGTTTGAAGTGCAGCAAAGAGTTGCATAGTATATGCAAAATCTTTTAACATTTTAAAGTTGATTTCTTACTCCGGATTGTAAGGTTAAGTCTGTATTAATTTTTTTCGCAAAAAATTAACTTAAAAACGTCTGCATCAACAACTACACCGCCATGTTGATTATGAACGTAAAAGAAGCTATGGTCGAACAAATTTTTCCCGGAATGCATTATATACCTTTCGATTTTCAAAACAATTAGACCGCTAAAATGCTGTTTGAGACTTTGTAAGATCATATGATCAAAGTAGAGAAAAACCATGTAAAGCTCGAATGCAAATGAGCAAATATTCATTGAGTTTTGAATAAACTCCAGGAAAATTTGTCCCGTCGTTACGCTTAACAATTAGTGTAGCCCTTAAGGCCCAAGCTGATGTCGAGTAAAAAATTTAAGGTTAATTTCGGAATTGATTTCAGAATACCTCGAGAAGTATAAGGAAACACAGAATGAAATTTGGTAGCAATGAAGACTGTTTACATAGGAATAGATATGGATAAAAAGTAAAATTGTAAAGCATTTGATTTAAAAGAATTTTATTGGCGAAAGTAGGTACCCTATGAAAAGAGTTTCATACCTTTATTTTTTTTTTCAAAACCTCAATTTTTTTTCTAAGCGATCTAAAGGCCTGTGATATGTATTAATAAAAATATCTTCACAAGTTATTTAAAACTGAGCTACATGCAAATTAAATAAAATAACATGGTCAAGGTTACAGGGTCAGGGACTCAGGGTAAAAATATTGAAGTGAACATGTAATAAAAGATACATACATTTGCAGGTATTGTCAGCCTTTATTTACCTGCCTGGCTTTTACAAAGTACTTAAAGGTATGCTTTATATTTACCTGTAGGGATTTTTGGAGTTCCCGGTTGTCTGGCGGGTGATGGAGTCTTTAAATATCTGTCTGCGGTAGATTTTCTCCTCCACTGTGCCACACGTAATGAGGCGGTAGATGACGACATTTTTATCCTGACCAATCCTGAAGACACGGTCCACAGCCTGGGCATCAGTGGCAGGGTTCCAGCTAGGATCATCTAAATTACAACACATACTGTCCTAGTGCATGTAAACTGCGGGATATACTGGCATACATGTACTTGTATGGGCACTATTTTTCTTTACAATTGACAAATAAAATTGTTTACCTATCAATGCATCAATAAAATCTTTTTTTCTTTTTTAATTAAAAGTGCTATGGCAAGAAATACATGAGTTGTACATGAGACAGCAATTCTTATTTTGTTTTAAAGAATTTATCCATTGAACCAAAAGACTGATTAGACTTAAGACCTGTTGGTGTGTACTTATAATAAAGATGTATATTTGTAGAGTCATCTTATTGTGCACCATGTCATTCTGAAATCAGACCCATACTCTATTGGCTTCCATCTTTTACTCACATATGATGACTCGATCAGCAGCTGTCAAAGTCAGACCTACGCCTCCAACCTGTATAAATTAAAACGTAATGTAAATTTTAAAAAATTTAAAATAACTTCACACTTTAAATTCATTTTAAACAAAATTCTGCTAAGTAGAAAACAATGTTTGAATGCATTTCTAATTTCAACTGCTCCTGATTATAGCTTACAGATATAAAAGCATTGTTGAATCCTTTAAACACCTGGACATATGATCTGACAGTTACATTTGGATGATAAGAACATGTCCATTTTAATCTATTATACATGAATGAAGTCAAACCCGAGTACGAGATAACCTGAGTTGTGAGGAGGAACACGGAGTAGCTCATATCCTCCTGGAATGTGGCGATTCTCCTGTCTCTCTCGCTCAGCTGAGTTATGGTGCCATCCAGCCGCATGACCTTGTGTCCCTGATACAATTAAAACTTATCATTAAATACATACATTCTCAAAGAATGTAAACAGATAAAAGAGAGCTTAAGCAGATTGTATTTAATATTAATTTTAAACATCAATGGATTCAAAAACTATTTGCTAGATACAACATAAATCACTTCACTGTATTCATAATTTGTTATACAGTACTGATATCTCAGTAGATTGATTATTTCAGTAGATTAAATTTCATGTTCATAAAAAAAATTTCTTTATACCCCTGAATCATATTTTATAAATAAAGAAATAAGATAACGTTATGATATGCTTCCACCTTAAGCCAAATTCTACTACAGAAAATAAAAGTATGACACGCCTTTATGAAGACTATTACACCGACACTTGGACTAGCCTAATAGTTATATGACCTTGACCTTACCCTGTTGGAGATGAGCTGTTGGATGATGTCCAGCATCTTTCTGGACTGAGAGAAGACGAGACAGCGATGTCCCTCCCGCTTCATCTGGTCCAGTAAATCCATAATGACGATCAGTTTCCCCGACTCCTGGATCAGGACATTGTCTGGCATGTTCTTGATTTGATTGGCTGCGCACTGGTGGCCTTCCTCTGACTCCAGGGCCGAATCATCTAACCTACAAACACACAGACAATATAAAAATGTTCATTTGACTCATACAAAGTTACTTAAATATAGTATTATACTGTGAATTCACTAATTATTGTAGGTTTTTTTTCGTGGTTTTCGAGGTTTGAAGAGACCCACAAATTTTTGTCCACCATGAATTGAAATTTTTCAAAGATATTACCACTTAATTATCCTCAATCCACGAAATTAAAACCCAAAAACCTTATTTCTTTTCTCAAACCATGAAACTTTGACCCCTCGAAAATATGTGATTTTACACTATTTACATGCAGAAGCTAAGTCAATACCGGGGTATTCAGAATAATAAGATGATGCATATTATAAATCCTTGTGATCAGTACTTACGCATGCTCTCCATCCAAACCAAGCTGAGCACACGCTCTCCGTGACAAGAGACGAGGATGGTCACAGATCTTCTTCAACACAGTCAGAGCCACCAAGGGAGATTTCTTTGTCATCAGTAGCTGGAAATGTATGTGCAGGCATTGATTATTATTCACTTCTTTGTGATAAGTGATTTTTATTTTATAATGTATATTTACAGTTTTAATCAAATTTTTAATTCAACCTTTTTTTGGGATAAAGGTCATAAGGTGTTAGAATAAATAGAATTCTTTACACAATTTAGCTAAATAAGGAAAAGAGATTTATACTGTAAAGTTCACATTTTTAATTACGTAACATCAAGAGAACATAAAATCTATCAAAAATAAATATATTTTCCTTTTTCTGTCCCTCCTAGCAGTGTTACCTCTTTAACAGAGTCCAAGGATAAGAAGTCGCTGTAGATCCTCTGTTGGTCAGGTGTCAGGAATAGCCACAAAATCAGGTCGTTCTTCCTTGTCATTGATGGCATCCTAAACAAAGCACAGGTGTTCTGAACATTTATTTTGTTGACAATTTTTTTTTTCAAAGGGATTAGACAAAAGTTCCAAAAAACTTAGATCTCTCCCCATACAGTTAGTTAATGTACAAGTGTGTACTGAAATTTAACTATAGCAACCATGAAGAAATTACAGGGAATTCAATGCTGTGACATCATTATCATGTATCAAACTGAATACATGTATATTATCCATTACTACATAAAATAAAACAGTTACAATTAGCATGCTTAAAATAGATTTGTGCTGAACAAAAAATGATTTTCATTCTCTGGATTTTTAAAAAAAATATAACAACATATTTCAGTAACTAATGAAAGCCTATACAGCTTTGCCAACTGAAACATCAACAGAAAAAAAGATAATACAAAAATATAATTTTCTTTTAAAAAAATACAATAAAACCACAATAGCAAAAATGATGCTACAGGTTCCCTCTATAGAGAGAATAGCTTCCCTTGACATGTATAACCATTACTCTGGTCTCTAGCCCAGAAAAATACGAATCTTCAACACAAGCTTATTAAAGTTAACAAGTCAACAGGGGCAAGATGAACATGTAAAAGTGAATGTGATTACATACTTCAAGTCTTTGCCATAGCTAAAATGAAAATTCTTAATTTAATACACACAAGGACAGAAAAGCAATCCATATTTTCATTCTTCTTCCATTTTTTTGCAACAGACACCATACACTTTGTGTAAAATTTGAACACTTACTTCAGACTCTTGGTAGAAGACGACACGTCTAGTTCCCCCTTCTCCTCCTTGTCGATCACCTCGGCCTTCGTTCTCCGTAAGAAGTAAGGGGAGATAATCTGTTTCAGGCTCTCAGCCATCTCCATCCCTAGTTTTCTCTCGTTAGCAGTGGCGTCTCTCTCCCTGGCCTATAATCAAAGGAAAGCTTGCTTACAACGTCACACTTCTAAATTATTTCACATGTTCACTCACTCAACAAACATGAATCAAATTTATGATCTGTTTAAAAGTTGGGAGGGGGAAAACAAGCTTTGTTAAGTTATTTCATACTTCTTACATACCCTGGTTATTGGAGTGTCAAACTCCATCTTGAAGGTCCTTGCCGTCCCCAGTAATGTCCCTTGATGTACAAAATCAAACAAGGACCACATCTCCTAAAGATTCAGAGAGAAAGAATAAAACAACAAGGTTTTGTACTTTGTAATTCCTAACAATAAAATCTACAGCATCTGATTCAGTGATTAAAAACAATCATAGCTTAATTATTCAACCCTAACTTAATTTTGTGGAAAGCAGTGAAGTAATCATTATAAAAATTAGTGGATACTGATAAACCTGAAGTCACTCCTACACATGTACATGACCTACCCTGAGGTTGTTCTGTATGGGGGTATAGGATAATCAGACCTACCCTGAGTTTGTTCTGTATTGGGGTACATGATACCCTGACCTACCAGGGTTTGACATTAAGGCACGTCCGACCGACTGAGTCTAGTAAAAGATGGGTCCGGTCGGGTAAAATGTCTGTATTCTAGACCGACTGGTCGTGTAGAAAAATAAAGGATTTTATTATATATTTTTAAATAATTATTTATTGCCGATGAAAAAATAAAACGTTTCTAACGGCATAGTAGATACGTTACAGACAGCATGACTGAAGCGCTATTTTTAACAACAGTTCATACATGTATTTTGGCATTCGTAACTGCTCGGCCATTTTCCTAGAGAGAAACAATGAGCTATTTATTGTTCACGTAAATGGCTGAGTAGTTATGATTGTCATTGTCGAAAGATTCACGTTTACGACATCGGTAATCATGTAAATAACAGTAAAACTATAATAATTAAATTATTCTTACTATACCTAAATTCTCTGAACATTTTAATGGTATCAATTAATATTGTATACAAGTTGATTAAACTAGGATGAAACACGACAAGTCACATGAATATGACCTAGTTTCGATGTGACGTGTGCGAGAAAATGTCGTTATTTAAATATGGATTCTCATCTGACATCTGCACAGAAAAAACAATTATCATTTTTTGTACTTGAAATATGTTTTCTCAAGTTTGGTCAGGGCTAGTGATTAAAGGGTCAGGACTAGTAAAAATTTGCCAGAGTAGTTAGATTGGTCTAGTATTCCAAAAGCTTAATGTCAAACCCTGCCTACCCTAATATTGTTCTGTATGGGGGTACATGATACCCTCACCTACCCTGAGATTGTTCTGTATGGGGGTACATGATACCCTCACCTACCCTGAGGTTGTTCTGTATGGGGGTACATGATACCCTGACCTACCCTGAGGTTGTTCTGTATGGGGGTACATGATACCCTCACCTACCCTAATATTGTTCTGTATGGGGGTACATGATACCCTCACCTACCCTGAGATTGTTCTGTATGGGGGTACATGATACCCTCACCTACCCTGAGGTTGTTCTGTATGGGGGTACATGATACCCTCACCTACCCTGAGGTTGTTCTGTATGGGGGTACATGATACCCTCACCTACCCTGAGATTGTTCTGTATGGGGGTACATGATACCCTCACCTACCCTGAGGTTGTTCTGTATGGGGGTACATGATACCCTCACCTACCCTGAGGTTGTTCTGTATGGGGGTACATGATACCCTCACCTACCCTAATATTGTTCTGTATGGGGGTACATGATACCCTCACCTACCCTGAGATTGTTCTGTATGGGGGTACATGATACCCTCACCTACCCTGAGATTGTTCTGTATGGGGGTACATGATACCCTCACCTACCCTGAGATTGTTCTGTATGGGGGTAGATGATACCCAGACCTACCCTGAGGTTGTTCTGTATAGGGGTACATGATACCCTGACCTACCCTGAGGTTGTTCTGTATGGGGGTACATGATAATCAGACCTACCCTGAGGTTGTTCTGTATGGGGGTACATGATACCCTGACCTACCCTGAGGTTGTTCTGTATGGGGGTACATGATAATCAGACCTACCCTGAGGTTGTTCTGTAAGGGGGTACATGATACCCTGACCTACCCTGAGGTTGTTCTGTATGGGGGTACATGATAATCAGACCTACCCTGAGGTTGTTCTGTAAGGGGGTACATGATACCCAGACCTACCCTGAGGTTGTTCTGTATGGGGGTACATGATAATCAGACCTACCCTGAGGTTGTTCTGTAAGGGGGTACATGATAATCAGACCTACCCTGAGGTTGTTCTGTATGGGGGTACATGATAATCAGACCTACCCTGAGGTTGTTCTGTATGGGGGTACATGATACCCTGACCTACCCTGAGGTTGTTCTGTATGGGGGTACATGATACCCTGACCTACCCTGAGGTTGTTCTGTATGGGGGTACATGATAATCAGACCTACCCTGAGGTTGTTCTGTATGGGGGTACATGATACCCTGACCTACCCTGAGGTTGTTCTGTATGGGGGTACATGATAATCAGACCTACCCTGAGGTTGTTCTGTATGGGGGTACATGATACCCTGACCTACCCTGAGGTTGTTCTGTATGGGGGTACATGATAATCAGACCTACCCTGAGGTTGTATTGTATGGGGGTACATGATACCCTGACCTACCCTGAGGTTGTTCTGTATGGGGGTACATGATACCCTGACCTACCCTGAGGTTGTTCTGTATGGGGGTACATGATAATCAGACCTACCCTGAGGTTGTTCTGTATGGGGGTACATGATACCCTGACCTACCCTGAGGTTGTTCTGTATGGGGGTACATGATACCCTGACCTACCCTGAGGTTGTTCTGTATGGGGGTACATGATAATCAGACCTACCCTGAGGTTGTATTGTATGGGGGTACATGATACCCTGACCTACCCTGAGGTTGTTCTGTATGGGGGTACATGATAATCAGACCTACCCTGAGGTTGTATTGTATGGGGGTACATGATACCCTGACCTACCCTGAGGTTGTTCTGTATGGGGGTACATGATACCCTGACCTACCCTGAGATTGTTCTGTATGGGGGTACATGATACCCTGACCTACCCTGAGGTTGTTCTGTATGGGGGTACCAGTCAGGAGAATTCTGTGACTGGCTGGGATCTGATGGACTCCCTTAGTTGTCTTGGTAGGATTTTTTATCTTGTGACCTTCATCCAGGATAAGGTAATCCTGTAAGATAATATAGTCATTCATTAAACAAAATCATATATAAAACCAGTCATCATGTTCAGCAACAAGAAAATGTTAAAACCTCAGATATCAAACCTTTACTAATTACAACCAACCCATATGCACAGCGTATTTATCAATGTCAACAGTTGTTAATACATGCAACAAATACACTAATCAAAGTGACTTTCTCAATGTCTAATATCACTACATTACTAGTCCATGATATACACTGTACATGTACATATGTACAGAGTTTATTTGCATATCTGACCATCCATCTAATTTTGATATTCAGGTTTTACCTAAATGCATTTGATATTGAGCATTTTACCCATTTGATATTGAGGTTTTTATTCATTTGATATTGACGTTTTACTCTTAAAGTTTTACCCATTTGATATTGAGCGTTTTACCCATTTGATATTGAGATTTTATCCACTTGATATTGACGTTTTACTCTTAAGGTTTTACCCATTTGATATTGAGCATTTTACCCATTTGAAAGGTCTTCCATCCTGCTGGCTCATCACCTCCCAGCTAGTAACAATCAATCCATAAGAAGTCAGAAGAATCCCCCCTTTTCTTCTGATCTTCGCTAGAGATCGCTCTTTTTCTTTCTTTGATCCATGATATGCTTCTACCTTAATACCTGGAGCCCTGGATTGGAAGGGAGATGTGTATGTTGATAAAAATGCCAAGATTGAGGTTATTCAAATACAGTGTCTATAATAATGATATTCTTACATGATAAAGATGACTATTAAAATTAAATTCACTTTTTTCAGTTAAGGGATATAATGCAGGGCATAGCAAGTATTCAGACTACTTTGGCGAATTTTATGTTACGGCTCGATGGACAATGTCGACACTTAGATGAAATTACGAAAGAAATCAGAGCAAAAAATGGCATTCAAGAAAGACTTGAAACTGTTCAAGAGCAGGCAAACGACACAATATACCTTGTGACAGAACTACAGGATAACCAGAAAAAAATGGAACGTGAAATGAACAGACTCAAAGATTATGTAGTTCGTCTTGAATACCGTGTAAATTCACAAAGTAACCAAATAGTTGATCTCAAGTCTAGGTCAATGGAGAATAACATCATTGTTAGTGGACTTCAGGAAAAAGGCCCCGAGAAGAAGTCACCAGAAAACCTTGCGCAAATTCTAAGAAATGTATTCATATCAGAGATGAAGATGGGGGAGACAGCAGTTGATGAATTACAAATACAGAAACTTTTCCGAATGGGAGAATACGATGCTCAACGAAATTTTCCAAGACCAGTTTGTGTGCAATTTGCCGATAAAGCCCAAAAAACCTTTTTATGAAAAACATAAAAGTTCTAAAAGAAAAGAATTCGGACATAAGAATTGCCCAACAACAACCAGAGGAGATACGGGAACGACGAAAACAGCTGTATGAAGTTCAAAGAAAATATGCAGAACGAAATATCGAGACGAAAATGAAGGGGGACAAGCTTATCTTTACCCAGAGTAATTCAATCTACAGAGAAAAAGTAGGATCTCTTCCAACGGCAGATGAGGTGATTTCCAGCGACCCAGTCAAGATTACAGTTCACCAGGTTACCCTGGAAAGTCAATTGAGGACAACGGAAAACGGTTTATGGCGCATTCCACCCAAGTCGATTCTTATAAACAGATTAAACGATCATTAATGGAAATCATGCGTATCGAAACTGTACCCAGTGCGAGCCATAACGTTTATGCTTATTGCTTCACAAGTAGTGATGGGATAATCCATGAAGGATCAAATGATGACGGGGAACATGGTGCGGGAAGGTTACTTTTAAAACTGCTAGCCAAAAACGAAGTTAACAACGTACTGGTGGTTGTCTCTCGATGGCATGGAAACAATATTGGACCTCGTCGATTTTCCTATATCAAAGAAGCAGGTCTTAGTGTGGTAAAAAATTTACCAACTTCAGTTTGAAAACATGAAAAATAAACACAGTATCTTCTTTGACTCTAGAACTGTTCTGGTCTTGATCTGAAATTATTTTTTAAAAGTGATCTAAAGTTAAAATGTGTAATACATTTTTATTGAATTCTCATGTATCCCGGATTTCTTTCTTCCAGCCAATAATATTCCGGCAAGTTTTGAAACATACTATTTCCTGTTCTTGCTTATGGCATTTCCCGAAATAAGTTGTATTCTTTTTATCAGCTCAACTGTAGGCGATATGTAAGTTTAATTTTTCTACTCAACATGTCACATAATTTATAGGGATCTGTATACATTGTCTTTTTGGTTACTTATAGATACATAACGTAATTAATTAAAAAGACGGACAAGTTGTGACTACATTACACATGTAGTGGTTTCCCTAATAAGAGAATAAAATAATATATGATTTGTGTCAAGCGAAAAGGGTCCTTCGTGACAAAATTTTCGAAAATATTTTTTTTATCGATTCTGAAAGAGCTAGTTTTTCTGAATACTTTGATACCAAATTTTTTATTATATACCTTCTAAATTCTAATTAAAACTCAAGATGAAAGCAATGCAATTCTAACAAGATATAACGCTATAAAACGTTGAATAACGTCAAATAACGTTATTGATATTTGGAACTTATCATTACTAAATAACCCTTTTGTATTCGTTAGAAATTATTTTTTCTGCATGTATTAAGTTTTTTCAATATCTATTTCCCAAAATTTTAGCATTTATATGATCGTATATATTGTAAAATAGCGATAAGGCTGTTGAAAAAACCCTTAATTTAATCTATATGTAGGCCAATACTGAAATAATAAAGTACATGTAAGTTGTACATTTTCAAAGAATATATTAAACGACACCATCTCATCTTTGTTCTACAACATGAACATAAGCATGCTTTAATCTCTGAAAAATTGATATTTGAAAGGATCCTTTACAAGGGGATAGACCGCTGACCATACAAAACCAAACAAGTTCCTACTCTGCAGTTTTCTCGCAAGGTATTCGTAACAACACGGATATTTTCAAAGAGAGAAATAACAGTACGTTTACAGAAATGACCGAGTATTTACAATTGCTTGCAAGGGAGAAAAATGAATTATTATTTTCATGTAGTAAGGTCTTAAGGATTGATCCCGGTCAAAGTATTGTTATTTCCCTTTCGCTATAATCAGCACACCCACCTCCACCAAAAAAAAAACCCTTAGCCAGGACCTACATGTTTTTTTTTTTGAAATGACATAGTTTTTCCTCCATGAACAAATGTTTTTAGGGGGTGGGTGGTGTGCAGCTTTCAGGCATTGTTATATTTTTTACTTATCAGTTATTCCATACTTACTTAACAATTATTCCATACCAAAATCGATGTCATTTTATTTTATTTCAATTGAAAATTATATTGAAATGAGGAATATCCTCCAATTCAAATAAGATCAAACGTATTTGTTTTATTCCCCCGCTAACGATGCTACTTACCTATATGACAGTGATTTAAGATGCTGAATTAAATAAAATATACTGGTACAAACATTAGATACTAAAATTAAATAAAATAAACCGGTACAAACATTAGATACTAAAATGTATCAATAAATATGAATTAACTATATATCAGTTAAAGAAAAAAAAAGTTTTTGTACATTGGGGAAACGGTGGAAGGGGGGGGGGGGGGGGGGGCTTCTTCAAAAATGAGCCCGGCACGTTGTGCTTGGAACAAAGACAACTTACTTCGGTGCTTGCGATTGTTTAAATTCTGCTAAAGATAAATATCGTATGTCATGCAATTTTGTGAAGAGAAAGTATTGTATTTTATTCTCATGTTAAAAATATTAAGGAATTGAACTTGTTCAGCACTAAAAAATACCAATAACAATACATAAGTTATGTATATACCTAGACTTGATGCAAAACAATCAGTTGGACAACATTAAATGTCAGACGTTAAATTCATACTTTCAGAGTACCGGGCATACTAAATTCGTTAATATATGATTTACGTATATATAATTAAGCTTTTCTTCTGTGCCACCCAATCACGTGTTAGTACGTTGTTTCATGTAATATTTTATTGACCAAATCACTGGTACCGTATGACGTTCTAAGTGTACGATCTAAACAGTTGATACACAGTTACATACGGTTTATTTAAGCTATTCCCACTTTCTGAAAATCAAGTAGAAAAAGGTAAAATTTCACGTGGGAGTAGGTGGAATTTTTGTGTAAACAAATAATTAGCTGAATAAACATGTCGTTACTGTGAAAACAGTAATTATTAAACCACTGTGGGAGTAGAGGACAGGTATATGCTATTTAAAAGTAAAAAATCTGACTTTTTACTTCTATTTCAATGAGAAATTAGACTTTTTCATATAAATTAGCAGATAATAAATTATTTATTGATAAAAAGTGAATTTAAGTATATTTTTCTGTTAAACTTTTTATCTATTTTTAACTCCAGTTATTTGTATGCATTTCTTTCATATACATGTGTTTATTGTATTTTTTAAATATTATATATTTTTTTATAAATATATTTATTTTCTGTTTTATAATGTACAAAATACTGTTAAAATACAGGTAAATCTAAGATAGAATGTAATTAGTCTAATTATTGTAAAAACCAACTAACTTATCTAAACATCCATTGTTATTTGAAAGTGGGAATAGGTGGAATTGAGATTTTTAAAAAGTGGGAACAGCTAGAAGACACCTTACATACATAAACATTAAATAATCAGTTTAATTCTTATTCAGCTGTATCAATGAGAAAAATAAATGGTGTAAAATGCATGGACCTCATCCCTCAAAATCCAAACAAAATAATACACGTATACAGGCTGCCATCGGAAGAATTATTATCAGCATTATTCTATTATGCATAATGTGTACAATGGACAATCCTCCTCTGACTCCGCTTCACTCCATTCAAACAGGTACAAGCCATCCGAGGAGCTCCGAGTGATACCCCCCCCCCCCCCCCCCCCAGAAAAAAAAAAAAAAAATAAAGTCACGTGCACGAATTAATAATGATTATAGGATATCATTTACAAAACGTAGTTAATTTTTTTTTAAAATCCAACTTTTTATTCTTATAGTCAGGTTATGACAGGGTCTGTAATTCTTAAAATAAAAATTTCAAAATTTCTCTCATACCTGATTGAAAAAAAAAAAATTTAAATCATATGCAGTAAACAGACACATATAGAAAGCATCTCCATTTGTGGGAAAGGGCTTTATAAAAGTACGTTATTTTACAGACATAAAAAAGGATGCACAAGTGTAAATAATCATTGATTTCACAATCGCAGTGTAAATTGAGATAGGTCTATGGCGACATTAACAAAGAGGTTGTACCGCTTCCAGATATGAAATTCTCATGATCCTCTGCAAATACATCAACAGTGTATGAGAAAGAAAAGGAACCATTGAGATACTGTTTGAAAAACAAAATCATCACCACTTGGCTGATGATGTGGATTACAAAGCAATGATCCGGCACTTAATAAATTGGTCAAATATAGGAGCGATGTTTTTTTTTTAGGAAAGTGGGGGTGGTGCATGTACCATTGTATTTTAAAGTGGCTATGGTCAAAATAAGAAAAAAAAAGAAATTAATAGTAAAAACAAAAGTGAAAAAGCACAATCAAAAAAAAAAAAAAAAAATTAATTGATTAAATAAAAAAAAAAAACTAAGTGAGAG